TAGTGGAAGTAGCTGCGGTATCTAAGAACAGTGACTGTGGTGGTGGTGGTATCTTACCGTAGTGGTGGTAGTTGTGGTATCTTAAAATAGTGATGGTGGTGGTATCTAAGAATAGTGGTGGTGGTGGTGGTATCTAAGAATAGTGATCGTAGTGCTGGTACTTAAGAATAGTAATGGTGGTGGTGGTATCTAAGAACAGTGATGGTAGTGGTGGTATTTAAGAACAGTGATGATGGTGGTGGTATCTAAGAACAGTGATGGTAGTGGTGGTATCTAAGAACAGTGATGGTGTTGGTGGCATCTAATAACAGTGATTGTAGTGGTTGTATCTAAGAATAGTGATGGTAGTAGTGGTATCTAAGAACAGTGATGGTGGTGGTGGTATTTAAGAATAGTGATGGTAGTGGTTGTATCTAAGAATAGTGATGGTAGTAGTGGTATCTAAGAACAGTGATGGTAGTGGTGATACCTAAGAGTAGTAATGGTGGTGGTGGTGGTATCTAAGAACAGTGATGGTAGTGGTGGTATCCAAGAACAGTGATGGTGGTGGTGGTATCTAAGAACAGTGATGATGGTGGTGGTATCTAAGAACAGTGATGGTGGTGATGGTATCCAAGAACAGTGATGGTGGTGGTGGTGGTATCTAAGAACAGTGATGGTAGTGGTGGTATCCAAGAACAGTGATGGTGGTGGTGGTATCTAAGAACAGTGGTGGTGGTATCTAAGAACAGTGATGGTGGTGATGGTATCCAAGAACAGTCATGGTGGTGGTGGTATCTAAGAACAGTGATGGTGGTGATGGTATCCAAGAACAGTGATGGTGGTGGTATCTAAGAACAGTTATGGTGGTGGTGGTATCTAAGAACAGTGATGGTGGTGATGGTATCCAAGAACAGTGATGGTGGTGGTGGTATCTAAGAATAGTGAGGGTGGTGGTGGTATCTAAGAACAGGGATGGTAGTGGTGGTATCTAAGAACAGTGATGGTGGTGATAGTATCCAAGAAAAGTGATGGTGGTGGTGGTGGTGGTATCTAAGAACAGTGATGGTGGTGGTGGTGGTATCTAAGAACATTGATGGTGGTGATGGTATCCAAGAACAGTGATGGTGGTGGTGGTGGTATCTAAGAACAGTGATGGTAGTGGTGGTATCTAAGAACAGTGATGGTGGTGGTGGTATCTAAGAATAGTGATGGTGGTGGTGGTATCTAAGAACAGGGATGGTAGTGGTGGTATCTAAGAACAGTGATGGTGGTGATGGTATCCAAGAACAGTGATGGTGGTGGTGGTGGTATCTAAGAACAGTGATGGTGGTTATGGTATCCAAGAACAGTGATGGTGGTGGTGGTGGTATCTAAGAACAGTGATGGTGGTGATGGTATCCAAGAACAGTGATGGTGGTGGTGGTGGTGGTATCTAAGAACAGTGATGATGGTGGTGGTATCTAGGAACAGTGATGGTATCCAAGAACAGTGATGGTGGTGGTGGTGGTATCTAAGAACAGTGATGGTGGTGGTGGTATCTAAGAACAGTGATGGTGGTGATGGTATCCAAGAACAGTGATGGTGGTGGTGGTGGTATCTAAGAACAGTGATGGTGGTGATGGTATCCAAGAACAGTGATGGTAGTGGTATCTAAGAACAGTGATGGTGGTGGTGGTATCTAAGAACAGTGATGATGGTGATGGTATCCAAGAACAGTGATGGTGGTGGTGGTGGTGTCTAAGAACAGTGATGGTGGTGGTGGTGGTGTCTAAGAACAGTGATGGTGGTGATGGTGGTGTCTAAGAACAGTGATGGTGGTGGTGGTGGTGTCTAAGAACAGTGATGGTGGTGGTGGTGGTGTCTAAGAACAGTGATGGTGGTGGTGGTGGTGTCTAAGAACAGTGATGGTGGTGATGGTGGTGTCTAAGAACAGTGATGGTGGTGGTGGTGGTGTCTAAGAACAGTGATGGTGGTGGTGGTGGTGTCTAAGAACAGTGATGGTGGTGGTAGTATCTAAGAACAGTGATGGTGGTGGTATTATACTACTGGTATATGGTTAACACCATTAACACAGTTAGTGTACCGTTGACATGTTAGACTACGGGTATACTATCTCAACAGCATATTTTCTCCCTGAGGCTGAATGAGATTATATACATAAATTACCTTAGCAAGGTTTGTGCCAGTGATTATAAAAAAAAAATTAATCAATGTGATATTTCAGTGAAAATACTAAATTTGATCAGATTTTTTAAGGCAGAATTGTTTTCGTGAAGCTGTTTCAAAATTTTCGCCACGACGACAGTGTTATCGAAAGAATTATGGGAAAGAGGGAAAATGTTATGGTCACGGAACACTGGAGATTTTTGCGAACAGCTGAGTGTGTGAATCAATTGTTTGCATTGGATCACACATTAGAATTGCTTTGAAGAATGAAGCTTTTTGTTGCATCTGTGGATTTGGAGAAACTTTAAGGCGTTGGGGAAAGTTGCAATGAGTTTTTTATGAGGACCATTAGACTCAGCATAAGGCACGTAGGAGAGAAAGGGAATATATTACAGTGAAAATTCCGGTCAAAACAATGTGCAATGCTGGCGTAATTGTCTAATGCCTTTAGTAAAGGCGCTTGGAAAGGGTGTGAACATTGTAGTGTTTCTGAGAGAGCTGTGGGCTTAAAAAAATATAATTTACTGTAAGGTTGGAGTTTTCACAATCTCTTTCTGCAGATGACGCAGTGCTTTTGGGAGATTAAAAAGACACTGATAAATTTTGTGGATGAGATATGTAAGGCAAGCCCCCCAAAAATAAGCTTGATTTCTGAAAAAAACAAGATAAGGAAAGAGGAAAAAGAATAAGGAATGAAAATTAGACGTCATATTATAGGAAAAAAGTCGAAGTAATGAGGAAGTCAGTGCACTTACATATCAGGGAGTAGATGTTTCGTCAGGTGAGTCTACGAAAGAGGAGATAAATCAGTGAAAAGAAGAGAAAGTTGTAGAAATATTGAGAAGTCTTGTGAAATGAATAAATTCTAGATTAAAGAAAAGTCAGAGCAAAGTAATACCAACTGTTTTATAAGGGAGGTATGATCTTTGAATGTTGCAGCCAGCAAAAGGCGAGAAGCAGTGCAGATGTCGTGTCGAAGATCAATGGGTGCTGTGAATACTTTGCTGTGAATAAGGAGTGGAGATGGTGTGTTGGTATGAAAGCTAAATTCAGAGAGAGGAAGAAGGGTTGTTGAGATGATTTGGTCATTTAGAAAGAATGGAGCAAGACAGGTTGATGAAGAGGGTGCATAAATCTGAGATGGATGGAAGGTGTAGGGGACGAACGAGGAAGACCTGGAGGGACTATGTGAAAGACGTTCCTTGGGGTAGAGACATGGGACTGCAGCGAGCATATGGACGTGCTTGATTGGTTTTAGTGACTCGATGTGCTGCTGGAGTGTGGTGACTAAGGTATATATGAAGGGGTTTTGGAGGTGGCAGGTACAGTGTCTACTGTAGATCAGTGGACGCTGAAGCTCGTGCTCCTCTGGAAAGCCATCTGGAGAGTGAATGATGATTAATGTATTTTCTTCTAAGAGTGACCATGTCAACCCTCCCGCCTCACACACGCACTTTATATATAATGTCCTACTGAATAGGTAAAACTTGCGATTTTGGCCTAAATAGCAACGCTCTTCTTGCCGGATAAGGCCAGCGAAAATATATATATGCAGTAATGTCGCAAAAAATCATTTTGAACCTAACGAAACAAATATATTTCATTGTGTTTGTTTATTATTAAATTATTGTAAACTTATCTAAAATATATTTAGTTGGATTAGGCTAAATTAAATTGCGCTTGTTGTAATAAGGTTAGAGGAAGGTGATGAGGGTGTCAAATGATTTAGATAAAGAAAAATTGGATATCAAATTGGGGAGGAGGAGTATGGAAGAAGTGAATGTTTTCAGATATTTGGGAGTTGACGTGTCAGTGGATGGATTTATGAAGGATGAGGTTAATCATGGAATTGATGAGGAAAAAAGGTGAGTGGTGCATTGAGGCACATGTGGAGAAAAAAAAACGTTATCTATGGAAGCAAAGAAGGGAATGTATGAAAGTATAGTAGTATCAACACTCTTATATGGGTGTGAAGCTTGGGTTGTAAATGCTGCAGCGAGGAGGCGGTTGGAGGCAGTGGAGATATCCTGTCTAAGGGCAATGTGTGGTGTAAATATTATGCAGAAAATTCGGAATGTGGAAATTAGGAGAAGGTGTGGAGTTAATAAAAGTATTAGTCAGAGGGCTGAAGAGGGGTTGTAGAGGTGTTTTGGTCATTTAGAGAGAATGGAGAGCGTATAAATCTGTAGGGGAAGGAAGGCGGGGTAGGGGTCGTCTTCAAAAAGGTTGAAGGGAAGGGGTAAATGAGGTTTTCTGGGCGAGGGGCTTGGACTTCCAGCAAGCTTGCGTGAGCATGTTAGATAGGAGTGAATGGAGACGAATGGTATTTGGGACCTGACGATCTGTTGAAGTGTGAGCAGGGTAATATTTAGTGAAGGGATTCAGGGAAACCGGTTATTTGTACATAGTCGGACTTGAGTCCTGGAAATTGGAAGTACAATGCCTGCACTCTAAAGGAGAGGTTCGGGATATTGGCAGTTTGGAGGGATATGTTGTGTATCATTACACGTATATGCTTCTAAACTGTTGTATTCTGAGCACCTCTGCAAAAACAGTGATTATGTGTGAGTGAGGTGAAAGTGTTGAATGATGATGAAAGTATTTTCTTTTTTGGGGATTTTCTTTCTTTTTAGGTCACCCTGCCTCGGTGGGAGACAGCCGACTTGCTAAATATATATATATATATATATATATATATATATATATATATATATATATATATATATATATATATATATATATTATATATATATATATATATATATAATGGCAAAAAGTATGTAGACAAAGAAAGTCAATCAGCTTTACATTGGTTTGAAATAAAAGACTCAAATGTACAAAATGCTTCATCCTTTAATATCTTTATTCCTCACAATTAAATAGAAACCCTTTGACTTACACAATAACAATAAAATAACTTAATATCTAACTATGACACATGTTGAATGTACTGAGGCAGTTCTCATAGTCCTTTTCCTATTAAATGTTTATCTTACAACAAAATAGTATTAGATATGAAAATTCTTTTATCTGTGGATTATAACTGAGATAATGAATGTTTCAGTCAGTTTCAAAGTTGTGTCTTAAAATACACTTAGAAGACCATAGCCCTTCTAATCTATGCGCCATTTCCTTATTGGTGTCAGTTTTCCGATGGCATCATTTATTCCAGCACTGAGTTCTGGAATTTCCTTCACTAGTGACTGGAAAATGAATCGTTCACAAATCCTCATGGTTTAGAAAAACACGTAAGCAAACACTATAACATATTTATTAGAAAACGTTTCGGTCCTGGGACCTTAATCAAGGTCCCAGGACCGAAACGTTTTCTAATAAATATGTTATAGTGTTTGCTTACGTGTCTTTCTAAACCAACTTGTCGGTATTTATTACCAAGGTTTATACCACAAATCCTCATAAAAATCTAAAGACTTGATGTCAGGAAAGAGTCAGTAGGGGGCTATTTGATGGGACTATCACTGTCACTACATCCGTCAGGAAACTTCACGCTCTGGTAGTTACACTGTTGCATACAGTGATCTACATTTTCATATCTTTTACCATACTGTTGCAATAATTTTTTGAATTCGGAAAGAAAAGGGACTTGGTGGACTGCTTGTATATTTATCTTCATTGCAAACATCTGAATCACCGGTCATTGCAGATTGTCTGCCTGCAAGGAAAATGGATCAGGTATATGGTTCCTCCACCTATGTTCCCTATGGCACGGGTGCGCTGACTAGAATGCTAAGGCGAGAGGGGAGGATGTAGGACTGGTTTCAGTTTTTTTCTTCCTAATTTCATTAATGTGCTTCTCATTTTAAATAACTGCAATACAGAAAAAGCTAATGGGAGATTTTTCTCTAAAACCTAAAAGACGTATACGTTTGCTTTGTGTTTACATGGGTTCTTAATCTCTTTTGTTTAACTTAATTACAAATAAAAAGTCTCAGCACTTTGAGTGTGTATGTCTGGGAAATTAGATATAATAATATATACACACAAGTATGATAAACACAGGTCATTGGAACAGGCGAATCTACATGGAGAAAATTAAACAGAAGAGAGGAAGAATTTTGTCAATATTATCTGTGCACTGTTACTGAAGAGGGCATCAGTTCTAGGGCGAAATACGCAGTTCTTCCTGTCTCTTATTTTATTTTCTCAATGTAGGTTCATGTGTGACAAAATGGTATATCAATGTGTTACAGTTGTGCTTATTTTATCTCTCCTCATTATGTGTGATTTCGACAGACGGGTCATGGGACTCCATGGGAGAAGACAGACAGAAAAGAAAATCTGGGAGTCCTCTGTCATCATGTGACAAAGACCCGTGTCAGGAGAACCTGTCTTATTTCCTGACGAACAAAACAAAACCTTCCAAAGTGTGTGTAGATCAATAGAATCACTTGCTTCAGTTCTCTGGAGTTGCCTTAGACCTTTCGTATCTGCGAACTTTCTACAGATGATTGCACAAGGCTGTTTTAATTTTCCATTGTCAAATTAATATTTTTTTCTTATTTCAATGTGTTTTTCTGGAATTTATGCGGGAACTAAAGCAAAATTTCCTGTCATAACTAAATTACAGTAAAAAATAATTTAAGAAACCGCATGAATTACTAATGATTTCAATAGAATTTTGTTCTCTAGATCGATCCATGATATTTTTATTCATAAATTTTTATTTAGTTTGGCTGTACAAATAACTCGCAAAAGCAACACTTAAATACTTAAGTACAATGATTTTTTAGTAACAAAAAAAAAAAAAAGATACCTGACGAGGACTGGAATGGAAGTAATGATGCGAGATCACTAAGGGAGAAAAAGTTTGAGGAATGTTAGTTGGTCTCGTAATGACCGTTGACTCCGAGTAGATTCCTCCTTCTGACAGACCTTTCTTCACGCGTCACTTCTCCTTCCTTGATATACCCCACCTTCCTTCTTCCTCGATATACCCCATCTTCTTTCTACCTTGATATACTTTCACCTTCCTTCTTCCTTGATGTTCCCCATCTTCCTTCACACGTCACTTCTTTGAAATACACCACCTTCCTTCTTCCTTGATATACCCCCACCTTCTTTTTTGATGTTCCCCATCTTTCTTCATGCGTCACTCCTTTGGTATACCCCCACCTTCTTTCTACCTTGATGTTCCTCATCTTTCTTCACGCATCACTTCTTCTTTGATATACCCCCACCTTCTTTCTACCTTGATGTTCCTCATCTTTCTTCACGCGTCACTTCTTCCTTGATATACCCCCACCTTCCTTCTTTCTTGATGTTCATTCCCGACCTTCCTTCACGAGTCACTCTTCCATCACTGATAAACTCAATTTCTCTGACAGAACCATACTTTCCTTTACAGACCCCTAACCTTCCTTCACGCATCCCTTCTCCTTCCTTGTTAATCCCCAACTTCCTTCAAGCATCACTCATCCTTCCTTGATAAACCCAGCTTCCTTAACAGAACCCCACCTTCCTTGACGCGTGACCCTCCCTCTTCCTTGACAGACCCCACCTTCCTTCACGCATCATTGGGGGTTACACTCGACTGGAATATAAATTAAGAAAAGACGTGAATATATTCGGTGTGTTGTATATATATTTTTCTTTCTGAAGGAGAATTCTCATACGAAGAATCAATTCTCTCTGGACTGTGCTTAATGTTTCTCGGAAAAAATCTGATTTGATTTCTATAGCTAATTTCACCTACTATAAGAATATATAATTAAATATAATCTATCATAAGCATAATTTGCACTATCTATCGACTACATTCGACACTTTTCATCACAACTTGACAAGCATCAGAAAATAAGTTGCTGTCAACACGCATTTATATTATTTTTCATCACAGTCAGGAGGCCTCACTTTCCAGACACTTTAGCACTTTTTACTCTAGAAATTATTTAGATTTAAGTGACCTTAGGTCCTCGTAACCAGTGTCGTCTGCCACCCCAGGAAAGGTGCAACCTTCCAGGCGAGTGGATCCCGGCTTTCATCAGGAGGATCCAGGCCTACATCAGGAGCATCATGACACTACTTGAGTGTGTTGACCATCACTCCACATGCGCGGTGGTTCAGAACCCAACAGAAGGGCCACTGCTTCCGTCTCAGACATAGGTGACAGGTATGAGAATGTCTCTAGGTTATCCTGGTACACTTCGGAATCCGAGGAGCCGTAGAGGAAAGACACAAAGTCGGACTCAGGAGGCGGGTGGACGGCTGGTTGCTGGATCTTGAGAGGATTGTTGGTTTCCAGATGTGGTTGGAATTCTTGGAATTTAATGTCGGTCTGAGGTTCGCGAGAGCTGGAGGCATCTTCCAAGATGCTGGAGAGGACCCAGGAGCAAGTACCCTGATGGGCTTTGCCATCGAGGATATCCTGAAGTGATCTGATGTAAGCAGACGCCAGTCTGAGCGTGGTGATCTTAGTCATGTCCGACGCTGCGCGACTACTACACACCCAGGAAGGCAAGACGCCGCGCAAACTCTCGAAGGCTGTGTTGATCTGCCGCATGCGATACCTCTCCCTGGCGTTGGCGGTCTTCCTGCGGTACCTGGAGAGCGGCGGCGGCCGTGGTTTGTGTCTCAGGGAGTCCTGGAGACACCACTCACTGTCGGAACGACGCCGGGACTGGAGAGACCGAGGCCTCAGCTGATACTTGCCACCGGAACCTGCCACAGCCTTGCCGTTACTTGCACCATCATTTTGATTGTTTTCATTATTATTATTATTATTATTTATTATTATTATTATTATTATTATTATTATTATTATTATTATTATCATCCACAGCGTTCCTTCTGCCTTCCAGCGGCGACACTTCATTTTCTGATTTTGCCATTACTGTAACTGGGAAAGTCCCTGTATTTCACTCTGTCAGATAGCTCGCTGCAACATTACTGAAGCCCGTGTGTTCGTTGTTCCATGCACCCGCTGTGCAGTTAGTGGCTCCTGGCTTGAGGTCGTGGACATCTGCAAGATACAACAACTCGTATTAGTTACGCTCACAGCCCCCCATAAAAATATATAACTGTTCACTAGATCCGCTTGAACACCCGCACAGATACGACAGTGTTTCAGGCCAACTTCAACTGGTAAACATTAAAGTTTTCTCTCAGTGAGCTTGCTCACCTGCTAGCGAGTGACGGGTGACGGGAGGCGCTTCACTACACGTCTTGCCCACACAACAGACTCTGCCCAACTGACTCTCAAACTCGTCCCTCTCTCTGTCTCTCTCTCTCTCCCTCCCTCCCTCCCACCTACCCTCCTTCGATCCCTCCCTCTCACCCTCTCACCTCACCCAGTACACCACCACCACCACCAAACGCCATATATGGTTCGCCATTTGTCACTTTTTCCGCATGCATTTTTATATATTTCGCCGATTTTGAGGCGTTTCGGGTCATTCAAGAGATGGCCTAGCCGGCCGTGGTATCGGTGAGCTCCTCTGATGTGTGTGGGAAAGACAAATCGCTTGTTTAATCACAGATTTGACCTGGAACCAAGAGGTCACAGCATCCTTGACTCTCCGTGTTGAAAGGCAACCCTAAGAAATTTCCCAAGTGCCTGTTTTTTTTTTATTTAGTCAGCATCGTTTACTTCGTGTTTTTTTTTTTTTTTGGTCTGCGGAAAAGTAAATCTCTCTCTTGAGGACGAGACAAAGATAAGGAGGTTTCTTACGATAACGATGCGAGCTACAGTGATCTTTGTGAAGCGGAGAGATAAGGAATTTCCAGAGATAGCGGTGCTGACTGGAAGTGATCTTTCTTTGCCTGTCCGAGCCCGTGTGGGTCACTCAACACGAGGAGTGGTGGAGGCTTGATCCACCGTCCATTGTGTCATTCAACACAAGGAGTAATGGAGGCTCGACCTTCTGTTCTGCTTGTTGGTTCATCAGACTGTTGCGTGATGAACCAACAAGCCGAAGAAACGTTTCGCCACACAGTGGCTTCGTCAGTCTAATACAAAGTAGAAATGGATAAGGAGAGAAGGAGGAGGAGGTAATCAGTCCCTCAGCCTGGAATCGATGTGTTCAGTCCATCACTCTTGTAGGAAGGTCCCACTGTGACCCCGCCTCCTCCTGCTTCGACTCACCTGACTGCAGTATATAAGTCACCTCTCCGGCCCTATGCTGTACTTCCTACAAGAGTGATGGACTGAACACATCGATTCCAGGCTGAGGGACTGATTACCTCAAACTCCTCCTCTCCTTACCCATTTCTACTTTTGGACTGACGAAGCCACTGAGTGGCGAAACGTTTCTTCAATAAAGATTCCGAAAAGGTGGCATAAATGGCTCAGTTCTGCATCAGATTGTTGATGAATTACTCCTCATCTCCAGAGACCGTGAGAAAGTATTCTATGGCTAAAATAAATTATCCAAAACTAAAAAAAAAAATCAGTTATTGATTGAAATACGCTTATCTTATTTTGCATATAATCAATAAAGCTCGAAATTTATAAAGAGCAATAAATATCGATAATAAAAATTGCAACTTTATCTCTGGTCTGCCTTTATTCCTCTGGCTATCTCTCTAACAGTACTTAATGTACTCATAAAGTAATTACGGTATTTACGAGAGTACTAACTGTTGTCGGAGTGTATTCCCTGCATTAACAGTGTCCTTATCACATTCTAAGAGTACTAGCTGTGTCAGCAGAGAACAATCACAGAGTTCTAGCTGTGTCAGCAGCGTACATACACAGAGTACTTGTTGTGGCCCGGTGGTCTGGTGGCTAAAGCTCCCCGCTTCACACACGGAGGGCCCGGGTTCGATTCCCGGTGGGTGGAAACATTTCGACACGTTTCCTTACACCTGTTGTCCTGTTCACCTAGCAGCAAATAGGTACCTGGGTGTTAGTCGACTGGTGTGGGTCGCATCCTGGGGGACAAGATTAAGGACCCCAATGGAAATAAGTTAGACAGTCCTCGATGACGCACTGACTTTCTTGGGTTATCCTGGGTGGCTAATCCTCCGGGGTTAAAAATCCGAACGAAATCTTATCTTATCTTATCTTATCTTATTCACCTGCAATCAGATTGAATTTGTCGTGTACTGTTTGTCCAGTTTTTCGTCGCCTTGCAACGACAATAAATGAAATAGTCATCATGTATTTATGAAAATAATTTGGGTAGAAATATAATTCTAGGAAGTGTAACTACATATATTAGAACGTACTTGGTAACTCATTCAATTATTTTACTGAGTTACGGACGATTAGCTAACTAATTGTTATTATGATTCTTCACTCTGGTTTAATGAATTAGTTAGAAATATAAATAATTATAGTTTTAAAATTGTTTAAGACTAACAGTGAAATGTTTATAATTGACAGTGAAGTGTTTATGACTGACTAAATAACAGTGAAATGTTTATGACTAACAGTAAAATGTTTATGACTAAATAACAGTGAAATGTTTATGACTGACTAACAGTAAAATGTTTATGACTAAATAACAGTGAAATGTTTATGACTAACTAAATAACAGTGAAATGTTTATGACTGACTAACAGTAAAATGTTTATGACTAAATAACAGTGAAATGTTTATGACTGACTAAATAAAAGTAAAATATTTATGACTGACTAGCAGTGCAATGTTTCACTAACAGTGAAATGTTAACTAATGAAGAACCTGGTAATTATGATATACAGCCGTAGTTAATTAGGAACTGTTAACTCCTGTTTTGATAACTTATAAATGATAATTACGAACAGTTGCTCAAATTAATCAGTTAACTTTTACTCGTTACACAGGACTATTTAACCGCAGAATATTAAACAACTTTGAAAGACTAGCAAATACCGACATGGTAACTAGCCCAGACACGTTAGCTTAGATATTTTAAACAGGCTGCAGACTTCACTCAGAGAGAAAGATCTGGGGGTGAGCATAGTGCCCAGTATATCGTCAGAGGATCACATCAGCCGAATAATTTCTGCAGCCAATTCACCTCCGGCAAAACTAAGAGTAGCCTTCAGGAATCTCAACGAGGAGTTATTCTGGGCCCTTCATACTACATACGTTAAGACTGTCTTAAAGTATGCAGCACCAGTATGGAACCAGCACCTGAAAAATAGTATGTTACGAAACCGGAGAAAATGCAGAAGTGTGGAACAAGGCTTGTTCGTGAAGGGGCACGAGCTACAAGGTGAGGCTAACGGAATTGACTCTAACGACATTGGAGGACAGAATAACTGTGGACATGATAACAACATACAAAGTACTCAGAGGGTTTAATACGACAGACAGGGATAGATTGTTTAAGAGACGAGAAACGGGACCAGTGGGACACCACTAGGAGTCAAAGTCACAGAGGAGCCACATGGATGTTAGGAAGTATTTCTTCAGCCTCAGAGTAGTCGGGAAGTGGAATGATCTTGGTAAGGAAGTAGTGGAGGCATGCTCCATACATAGTTTCAAGAGCAGGTATGATAGGACCCGGGAGCTTAAAAGAAGTGAATCTGATGAGTAACAGATTAACAGGCGAGGCCAGCATCGACCCCTGCGACCACAAATAGGTGAGTACACACGCACACACACACACACACACACACACACACACACACACACACACACACACACACACACACACATGCACACACACACACACACACACACACACACACACACACACACACACACACACACACACACACACACACACACACACACACACACACACACACACAGTCAGTCAGCAGACGTGGGTCACAAGGCTCCGAGATTTAGTGGTTTTTAAGGCGTGCAACAACTGTTAGCAGTAATCAGCGGTAGTGACAACGTCAGTGAACAATCCTACGAGTGATAACCAGAGTTATTAGTTAAAAAAGTCGAGAGGAAGCCTGAAATCTTTAATATTTCAAAGTGTCAAACCGTTAGTGGATAGTAGGCTTCTGTTGCTACACAGACTCAAATATACAAAGATTCAAGTGAGTGTGGAAGCGGGTGTTCAAGAATTTCGAGAGATTGGATAACAAGTGAATTGTGGGGCATCATACAGTGAGAGTGAAATAATTAATAAGAAAAAGCAAAAGGAAAAATATAATTATAACAAGGGAAAGTGGCATTTAGGCCTGCTGAATCAGTGACGTCACAACAGTTGTCTGACATTACTATAAAGTGTAACACCGAATGTGAATTTGTATTCCAATATAAGTGAAGTGTACTCTAATCATAAGTGACACTGAGGGACGCGGGATGCCTGAGCATAACGGTTATAAAGATCACAGGTGAAGAATTTTCAAAATAGTGATAGAAGACTACGTCATCAGCATTCTGGCAACTTGTCATCGCTTTACGCACCAGCTTAAGTATACTCACCTGTTGGGGTTGTTTTTGGGGGGTCCTGAATCCTGCCTTGATCACTGTTAGATACTGGTCACTCACTCCTGCAAGCTATTACCAGAATTAGAGCAGGAATAGCATAGATAAGGTGAAGATAGGGTGACTACGAGGTGCAGCATAGCGAGGGAAGCCTAGGGGAGGGTCAGACACTCCAGAAGCTCAGACAAGATAAATTTACAACCTAATTACTTGTGTTTTATAAGTAGAAGTGATAAGTGTAGAATCACTGTTGGCAGTTTTTTAGAATTTACTGTATCTCCGGTATTTATTAGCAGTATGAATACTTAAAGTGGGGGCACGCACCACACACACACACACACACACACACACACACACACACACACACACACACACGCCCCGCACACACACATACACATACACATACACATACACACCACACATACACACACACATACACACACAATACACACACACATACACACACACACATACACACACACACACATACACACAAACACACCACATACGCACAAGGAACAAGCACTTGTAAGCTGTAGTACACACGCAAACACACATACACAGGATTTCACACCGTCCTGAGAACGACCATCTGAACCTTTCTCCTCCCCCCCCCCCTTTCTACACTAAGTGGACTTATCTTACCTCCTCATCATTACCTAAAATCTCTCTCTCTACCTATCTCTCTCTCTCTATTCCCTCTCCCATCTTCCCCCTCTAACATCTCTTACCTCTAACACCTCCCCCCCTCTAAATCTCTCCCCCTCTAACATCTGTCCCCTCCCATTATCTCCCCCTCTCCTTTTCTCCCATCCTCCCCTCTCCCCCCCCCTAGCCTCTCTCCCCTCTCGCTCTTCCATCTCCCCCCTCTTTCCCCCTTTCTCCC